GATTTTCAATATGAACAACAGATATTTGAACAAATCAAATTTAAAAAGATAAAATCTGTAAAGAAATGAAATAGACAATACAAATCATTTGAAATATTAAAATCTGAGATCTTATTTCAATAAAAAAAAATGTTTTCATTGTCATTTCTGGATTGCATTTTTTTCACATTTCAATTTATAAAATGTTCTCTGCTTACATTAATAATGGAATAAAATTCACTCCATATAAAGACTTTATTTTTACATAATCATTTGTCTTTTTATTGCTTTCCTTCATCTTTACGTCGTATTTATGCAGTTTGAATTAGTATCGTCACATGATGTGAAAATGTTTAAGGGGTTTAAACAATTTTTTTTCTCTTTGCAGAAAAAGAGCAGAGAGGAGAGCTGTGGTGAGGGCAGCGGAGTAGAGATCCTGGAGAACAAACCTTACGAGGATGGCCCTGGAGGCTCGGGTCAGTACACTCACAAAGTCTATCACATCGGCAAACACATCCCCTCCTGGTTCTGTGCCATTCTGCCTCAAGCCGCTCTTCGTGTGGAGGAAGAGTCCTGGAACGCCTATCCCTATACAAGAACCCGGTAAGAAAGCAGCATGGCATTATCACAAACACATACATCACAGTAAAACACAACAAAACATTCACTTGGTGCCAAAATAAACACAAGATTCACCTCAAGTTTTCACTTCAGCAGTAAAATCCTCTTTGTAGCTTTTTTTATTATTATATGTCTCTCAGAGATCACTCAATATTCCAAATGGATTTTCTTTTCCCATAATGATTATCGCCTCAAGTTTGCTCAGATGATTGCTAAGTCCTAGTTCAGCCCCCTAATAATCTAATTATGGAGAATGAAATTCAGCAAAATCTATTAAGAATATAATATGTTGAGGAAAGACTGGATTGCATCCCATTTCCACTTTCCTGTTCCATTTTCATGCTGATGGCAGAACAAGACTACTAAATAACAGAGCAGGGAGATTATGGAGTTATTAAGGGCACACAAACAAACGATAGGAAACCAGACCAACCAACGTTCCTCCATCTGGACCCATGGCCTCAATTTTTTTTACTTGCATGCTGGGTTGATGACAGGAGAGAATTGGGAGAGTAGGATAGGTGGATGCTGAGTTTGTTTCTGAATTGAATCTGTTAAAGAATGATTTCAGTAAATCTGTCTGATCATCTTTCTGCTTGAAGCCAGTGATCTTCTTCCTTCTTGACCTCACATCAGCCTTTTCCTGTATGCCTCCTTCCTTTCTCTCATGTTGACCTTAAGTTTCTTCTGTATGCTCCTCATGACTTCCCTGCCTCCCTTCTTGATACTTAATAGCTTAGGTGGTTTGAGAGGGGCGTAAAGGAAGCCATCTATGTTAGTAAAGAAAGACGAACCTTAAACAGAGGAGGTGGACTCAGGTTTCCGCTTTTAAAAACCTACAATGCAGCAACTGAGTTAATCATTATCATCGCAGCCCCAGCCCCTGTACAGGAGAGCCAAGGACCTGGCCTATTCAGCCAGGCCAACAATTCACTCTAACGACCCCCCTTTCAGACACTTAGGCAGGTATGGGATATTGCAGGCTAACAAAAGAAGCCAAACGACCTCCATTTAAAAGGGGTGGACCATTTCGTCTGTTTCAGTTTGCATGTTTTCAAATCAAAAACAAGGGTTTGTTGAGCCACCGTCTAAAACCTCAAACTCAACATTATTCCTGACATTTTGAATTGAGAAACCTTCTTGGATGGGAAGCGAAACATCTTCAAACTTTTAGGAGTTCCATGGTTTATTATTTGGGAAGCATTTCACTGTTTTGATAGGGATGGTGTAATCTACATAGAGGTGTATGTAGTCGGTCACACTCTCAGTTGTTGCACCGATGTCCTCTCCATACGGCAGTCACAGTGCATTCCAATCTGTAGCCTCAAAACAACCTTGCAGGTCTTCTTCAACCTCCTGTGACCATTTTCTTAAAGTTATGTTTAATGCAGGTTGTCTCTTATAAAATGGCTTATATAAAAACAACATTGGGATCTGATTGGGAGCTGGATCAGAGCTCGTCTGCCTGGCTGTGTGTTTCCTGGATGGAGCCGCCTTTGACAGTTGCTTTTCCTATGTCTGCTTCTGTCTCCTTGAACCCCAGTCGGCCTCGGCAGATGGCCGCTCCCACTGAGCCTGGTTCTGCTGGAGGTTTCCTCCTGTTAAAAGGGAGTTTTTTCCTCTCCACTGTCGCTACAAGCATGCTTAGTGTGAGGGATTGCATTCTAGTCAATTAGTTGATGCAACTGGTTTTCCTTAGATAGAAAACTTTGAATCAATCTGGATGATCTAGTAAACTATAAAGAGCCTTGAGATGACATGTGTTGTGAACTGGCGCCATAGAAGGAAAAAGGAACTGAATTGAACTGAATTCCCCAAAAGGAGGTCTTACTTCAGAAATGTATGAGTCCTTGACATTCGCATTAAAACAAGTCAACATTTTGTTTTGTCTGTTACAGCAGCTGAAAAACTGCTGCAAAGTTGACAGTATAGCAGAAAAAAGAGGCATGATTAAAATCACAAGTTATTGCCACAAATGCATTTGGCTGAAGACGACTGGTAAACTGGGCTAGTTCTCTTAAAAAAGAATACCAGACTCAAGCTAGCAGAGCTAACATGCAGTCATCTTTGGTAGCGCAATTCTAGAACATTTTATTAGTGCTACCTTTTTTAAACTTCAATCAAATGCAATGTAAAGACAGTACTGTAATAGTGGACTGCAGTTTTTATAGCAGCTAACAGTTAGCTACTCGTGATATTCTCTTACTGCTTGAAAATTCTTTTTATAAACTGTATCACTGTTAGTTTTCTTTTCTATACTGAATACCCCAAAAGCTGTCAGATTAGCCATTTTCAAGTGGTAAAGACTTTCTGAATTTTCAACAGAGCATTAATGACCAGCTGGATGAGCAGTTTTATTAGCCAGCTGTGATATCTGAGAACAAAATAAAAGTTTGCACTTTATTTTAAGACCCAAAGGCCGTTTCCCAATATGTGTACTTGTGCGTTCTCGTGTACTCGTGAAACCTCATCGGCCTCAGCCCTAGTACTGTTCTAATTCACAAGAACAGCAGACAGAGAACAAAGTCACCGGATGTTGTTCTCGCCCCTCCCTCTTTACCCAGCATGCATCAGAGCAGACATACCCTTTCTTGAGATTGACAGCTGTCCCAGCATGCACTGCTGCAGCAGCAGCTTGCAATGGAGCACTCACAGAGCTCAGAGTATTAAGTTAAAAGTTCTCTTTTCTGTTGCTGTTGTTTAATAAATGTATGTTTTTGTCATAATCTGGCCTGTTTGGTCCCCATTAATTGGTTATTTCTTTCACCTGCCGTTTTCCCTGCCTGCCTCAATTATAATTTATTCCTCTCACCTGTGTCCTCTGGGTTGTATTCAGTTCAGCCTGAGCATTCAGTTCCAGATCATTATTTGTTCTCAGTTAGTCGTTCTGTTCAGTGTTTTGATTTCAAGGTTCATGATCTGGATTTTGGCGGCAAGTGGAAAGAGGGCTTTGTGTTTGTCTCGTCTCCTGATCGTCCACTGTTCCTCCCCCCGCAGAGTCCTTTGGGTTTTTGGCTCATTATGGGGGGAGGTTCAGTTTTTATCCCAGTAAGCCTGGCTCCAGGGAGGAGACCAGTTTAAAGTTCCTGCATCAAGTTCTGGAATATTAACATTGGGAAGACAGAAAGTGATAAAAATAAACCCTCTAAATAATTTAATTTTAAAAAGATGAACCTTGTAAAAATTATTTCAGGTATTAAGTAACCAAAAGTACATGAATTAATCCTGATATCAAGTTCAGCTTTAAGATGATTCTCACAGAGTGGATGAGGGGAATAGAAGAGAGTCGCTCTTCTTTCTCTTACTGCAGGTTTGCTGCTGACACTGACTGCCTGTCTGAGCTTTGGAAGAGCAGCCCTCACTGCTCACATAAAAAAATGTAAACTCATTTGGCTTTTTATGTCATTACCAAAGTTGCTATTTATTCATTTTTTAATAAAGTCACTAGATGGGTTTGAAAAGTCCCTAAATATAGTCATAAAGTTGCCTAATGGGCAGTAGTACATGAGAAGTAATGTAAGTTAATGGCATCCAGTATATATGGAAGAAGTATCAACAACAAACAGATCTCAGTTATAAATAGACATATAATCCAATCAACCCAGTCCTGGACAGATTTAGACCCACCCATTGCAATTCTAGCCTAATTCTGATGCAATGTAATCCAGCTCACTGTATTACGCCAAATGGTAATTTGATCCAAGGAAATCGTGGGCATTATCTGTTTTTTTTTTGTTTTTTTTCTTATCCTTGTTTATTTACTGAAAAAAATTACGACGCAGTATTATGGGCAGGCCTGAGATTTTTTCTTCTTCTATTTCGAGAATGAATTAATAACATTACGAGAATAAAGTCATAACATTGAACGTGTGAATAAAGTAGTAAAATTACAAGCTTAAAGTCGCAACCAAAAAAGTCATAAAATTACATGAATAAAGTTGTAACATTACGAGAATAACGTCGTAAAATATGGCAATAAAGTCGTAAAATAATGAGAATAACATTGTAAAATTACAACAATAGAGTCGTAAAATTCCGAGAATAAAGTCGTAATACTATGAGAAAAAAGTCACAAAAAGAACAGTCTTAAAATTACAAGAATAAAGTCATAAAATTACGAGAAGAAAGTCGTAATATTACAAGAAAAAAGTCACAAAAAGAACAGTCATAAAATTACAAGAATAAAGTTGTAACATTACGAGAAGAAAGTCGTAATATTACAAGAAAAAAGTCACAAAAAGAACAGTCATAAAATTACAAGAATAAAGTTGTAACATTACGAGAAGAAAGTCGTAATATTACAAGAAAAAAGTCACAAAAAGAACAGTCATAA